ATCAATTAAAAACCTCTACATCAATTAGGGAACGTTTAGAGTCTCGGTTTATGGCTGCTAGTCTCGCTCGCTCCATGGAATTAAACAGATGTTGACTCACATGAAGAAGAAAGATACGCAGTCCATGGAACAATATTTGCTGGAATTACGCAACATTGTTGATAACTTGGCCTCTATTAATTCCCCGATGTCCGGTCATGACCTTATACAACATGCACTTTTGGGGTTGGGACCGAGTTACGAATCACTTGTCGGGCCCTCTTACACTTTTCCCGGAAGGACTCACATTCGATAAGTTGTGCACGAAACTCGTCCATCAGGAGGCTCGGCGCTTCACTTTCAGCAGCGGCTGGACTCCACGAATGCTCCTGCATTTGCTGCTTCTTCGGCTCTAGATGGTGCTCCAGCCGGGTCGGGCCCCAACAATCAGCAGCAGCCACCTCAGTGAGGCCGAGGTGGACGGGGTCGTGGTCCACGTGGCAGAAGAGGCCGCGGACGTGGCCGTTATCAGCAGCAGCAGTTCTTCAGCCAGCATGCTCCGCCGTATGGCCAAGGGCCGATGCCACATCCGCATTCATCTTCTGGCCGAGGACATCCACCACCATATTATTCGGGATAACCGGGTACAGTATTTTGTAAATCTGTTGAGTCATTGTCTAATACTTATGCCTTATTTACTTTTGGTGCTATAACACTAATTATGCAGGGTCCTCAAATTTTGAGAATAGTTTTGGTTATGTTCCACCACCTGTCGTCTGTCAAATATGTCATTCTCCATGTCATTCCGCTGTTTCTTGTCCATCCCGTTTTGCTCAACCACAGGCTCCTGCTTTAGTTGTTCCCACAGGAGAAGTCTCTCCAACTGTTTGGTATCCTGACTCCGGTGCCTCCGCTCATATGACCTCTACTGAAGGTATTTTGCATAATAAATCCATTTATTCCAGACCGCTAAATGCTACGGTTGCAAATGGTTCTAATTTACCCGTTATGACTATTGGTAAAGTGACTTTATATGCTTTGTCTAGGCCTCTCCATTTAAAATCTGTTCTACATGTGCCTCACCTCAAATATAATTTACTCTCTATTCAAAAATTATGTGCCGATAATAACTGTTTTGTAATTTTTGATAAAAATCTTGTCTGTGTTAAGGACCAAATCTCGTGGGAGGTGCTCCTTCAAGCTTCCAGTAGTGGTGGTGTCTATCCTATTTCCTTTACTCATTCTCAGTCTCCTGTTGCTTTTGCCGCCTATGCCACTCCTGGACCTGTCTGGCACCGTCGATTGGGACACTGTGGCAGCCGTATTTTAGATAAACTTAAAAAGTCTCAAATTATTTTAGAACTTCTAATTTTTCCCATGATTGTATTTCTTGTCGTTTAGGAAAATCACAACGATTACCTTTTCAACAAGTTTGGCATAAATCTACTGCTCCTTTATTTTTAATTCATTCTGATGTGTGGCAATCTCCAGTTCTGTCTACAAGTGGTTTTAAATATTATGTCTTATTTATTGATGATTATTCCCGATTTGCTTGGCTGTATCCTATGCGCAATAAAAGTGAGGTCCTGAAACATTTTACTCATTTTAAATTAATGGTAGAAAATTTACTCAATGCTAAAATTAAAATTTTTCAAAGTGATGGAGGGGGTGAGTTGATAATCATGCTATGCGTAATGTTTTCCTTCAGCACGGTATTTTATTTCGCAAATCGTGTCCCGACACTCCTGAACAAAATGAGGTTTCTGAACGAAAACATCGACATCTTCTTGAATTAACTCGCACTATGCTTTTCGAAGCAAAACTGTCAGCTAAATTTTGGGTCGTCAATGCCGTTTTTACTTCTACCTATATTATCAATCGTCTCCCTACTCCTAACTTAAATGGCTCATCTTCGTTTGAGAAATTATTTCACCATTTACCGGACTTCTCTTTTATGCGTACTTTTGGGTGTGCTTGTTTTCCCAATTTTAATGCCACTTCTGCCAATAAACTTTCTCCCCGGTCTGCTCTTTGTATCTTTTTGGGATATGCCTCTGAATATAAAGGTTATCGTTGTTTTGATCCTACTACTAACAAGATCTACATTAATCGGAATGTTAGAGTTTTTTAGAACTATTTTCCATATCCGTACTTAATTTCTTCAGCTCCTAAATCGGCTTTGCCTACACTCCCCACAAACTCAGCAGTACGCCTTCATAATTCTTCTCTCCATCAGCCTGCCACTACTACCTTATCCACGGCTTCCTCGCCAGTGACTTCCCCAGACTATTCGTCGGTAGAACCACCATCTCCACCACACGGCCCCCACCAAAACAGTCCACCATCCCAGCATCTCCACACACCAACCCAACCTCCCACCCGACTAGACCATGTCTCACGGCCACCGTCCCCTTCTCTGCCTTCGGGCAATACAGCTGACTCACCACCCGACACCATCTCTTCGCCGCCGATTACTCAGCCAGACCATACCTCAACCGAACATGCAGCCCCCGCACCTCCTTTATTCCCGAGTCATCACATGCAAACCCGATCTAAGTCGGGAATTTTTAAACCAAAATCAATTTTTACTCTTAAAACAAATATTTCGGCATGTGCTCCCACTTGTTTTTCCATGGCTAATAAGGATGAAAAATGGAGAGCTGATACGACCGTGGCCTACTGGTCTCACTCATTAAGTCTCTAGTTTGTTTAGCTCTTCAATTCTCTACTCCATATTGAACTGCTTTTTTGTATCGATAAGCAACACACAAAGACCAAAGTACATACGTAGTATATAATGTAAAAATCTAGAGACACACAAAGACCAAAGTATATATACCGAAGTATTAGAATATACGATGTATGTACTACCTCTGTCCCACAATGAGATAATTTGGTTTACGATGTTTGATCAACGATAAAGCAAACAGATCTCTGACCGCACTCAAATTATTATATTTTAAAAGAATTGCATATTCAAAAAGTAGAATAAAAGATCTAGAAAGTCGCATAAATTAGAATCAACTTAACGTAATCAGACTTGAAAAGAGAATAATTTAATACAAAGTTTTGTCACATATTGTGTTATCATAAAGAACTTGTTGTTTCGATCTTAAACCAAACCAGACTAAGCTAGACTTCAAACTAAAAAAAGTTTTCTTTAAAATTTGTTTCAGTTTATAATTTAAGACTAGACTTAAACTTGTAAGATTACGCAACATTTAGAGAGTAGTAACACACACATGTATGAAACGTATATCACACTGGAAATTTAAACAAATTATACGTAGTACTAAACTAGACAAAAAAAAATAATAGTAAAAACACCTCAAGCCTCTTCACTTTATTTGGGTTAAGCAATTTAAGAGTGTTTTGGGTGATTCTATTTTTTCAGCTTATCAGCTAACTTTTTAACCAAACACGTAACTTTTGATTTCACGTATTTAATTGTTTTAATAATAAGCAAAAGTAAGATTGCAGTTAATTTTCTGACTGTATTGAGTAATTACTGTAGATGACCATTTAAGCTATTTTTTCTTTATCTTATTAATAAAATATATTCTAGGTATTTTTTTCATTAATCAGCATAATTAGCCAATACAACCAGTTCTGAAAGAACTTCATAAATTTCAGCAAAATCAATTAATTCAAACGATTCCAGTGTTATCAAACGCATTCTAAATGTTGGCAAATTGTTTTATATTTGTGGAGTAGTTTAATTTCTATACTACCTCCGTTACATTATTGGGATGTTCCCATTTGAAAAGCAGGTAGATTATGAATAGTGAAAGAAGATATGTATTATTGAGGGTATGATGGGAAGATAGTGAAATAATGTGATGGAATGAAGAATAAATCCAAAAAAAAGTAGGTGTAATAGTGTATTATTTTTAAAATTATTGAGAGTATGATGAAAAGATTTAGAAATGAGAAGATATTAATGTTACATCCAAAAAAGGAATGGAGGAAGATATTTAAGAAGTTGTACTTTATTTGGAGGTGGTTTGATCAGAAACTGCTATTTGTTGTACCAGGCAAGGTGTATGCAGTGGAAACTGTCAGAACAATTCATTTAATTTCAGTCTGCCTTTATTTATTCTATAAATCAAAGCAATATAATGCAAAGAATTTATTAGAAAAAATACTCTATGTTGCATCTGGGGTCTACAGACTACATATGTGGAGTGGAAGAAGTCACCTTCTCAACCGGCTATTAATTTAGACCAATTATTTCACATGTGGTTTGCACATTCATAAACTGGCGGGAACAGTTGTAAACCAGACAAATTCTTTTTTACTTGTACACTATTGTTAAAAAACTTAGAATGTTTTTACTTTGAACTCGAAATTTTGATATGATCTAATCTGGTATGAATTGATCTGGTAGATATATGGGCTCTATGTATTTTACCATCGTAGAAGTTTGATCTAGTTTGATCTGAGTTTGAAATAAATCTAAATAAAAACATCCTTATAAAATCAACGTTTTCAATTGATTCCATGTATAAGTTATGTTAAAGAACCCGTTTGGTAACACCGAAATTGGCTGTATTGGCTGATTCTGCTGAAATTTATGAAGTTCTGCCTGAAGTGGCTGTATTGGCTGGTTCTGCTGATTTATGAAAAAAAATATATTTAAAATATTTTTTATTAATAAATCAAATAAAAAATAATATGAAAAAATAGCTAAAATGATAATCTAATGTAACTTCAGTCAATACAGCCAGAAAAGTAACTACAACCTTAGTTTGTCTTATTATTATACAATTCAGTGCGTGAAAGCAAAAGTTATGTGTTTGGAGAAAAAAGCCGGCTGATAAGTCTGATAAGCCGAAATAAGGTGCCACCAAACGGGCTCAAAATGTCCTAGACACTAGGTCCATTTCTTCAACTGGACAACTCAGTCTCTAGGCACTCAACAGTCGACATCATTGACAGTAGTCAAATACTGAGATGCCAGATTGCCTTAAGCCCTTAACTACTACGGAGTAAAAGAACAATGATACAGAATAATAAATGAATTCAAACACAGAAATAAATAAAGGACAAAATGATAAAAATTATATCAAATTCCACAAGATATAATGTACCGCAATCAAAATGCTATATTGATGTTTTCTGTACATTTTTTACAGCGAAAATTTGCGTTTAAGTAAAGGCAATATCAGTACCAGACGTAATATATCCAAACAATGCTAACTTGGCATATAGTCAGCACTGGACATGATTAGAACCATAGCTAATAGACTGCAAGCTTGTATCCGACATATTTGTCACCCACGGACGAGGACCGTTAGAAGGTCCAACTAAATTATAAGCAAACGAAGGCCACCGCGCATCCACACCGCACATATTTGTACTGCCCGTTTTGATCATTTTTTGAGTTCTATCAAGAACCACAAGGCTCGAAAATGTTGAAAAACTGTTTCCCACAAATACATCAGACCTTAAACAAACTTCATAGTCTATAGCTGATTGAATAAGGTAAGGATGTTTTTTATAAATCTCGGTAACACCCATTGTTTTCTTTTCACGTATAGTCAACCCTTCGCCCCAACCATTCAAAATAGAATCATCATCTTGAAGAAGACTATCAGCAACCGCAAGATAAATGATTATTGGATTCTTGAGGCCTATTATGTTTGGGACTCTTTCCATAATCTCTTCCTTGCTGCTACAAATTTCACTGATATTCAATCTCTGCTCTAATTTCTTGCAGTGAATCATCCAATCTTTCTCAATTCTCATATGGACCGCCACATAAGGCACCGGCAGAGACAACTTCACACTTTGCTCTCTGATCTTTGAAATAACTTTTTCAGCTTCTTTTGATATTTCATCTATGATAACTAGGCACTCGAAGATCTGTGCATAGTCTTTGGTAGGCCAGTGGTCATGCCATAAAAACGGGTTATTCCCAACCACTTTGATTGTTTCATACTGATCATATGGATATTTGCTAAACTCCATTAACTGCTCAAAATCTTTCTCTACCCTCCATCTCCTCCCACTTCCCTTTTGAAGCTCAAATACATCACTATGATTGGAAACTTCTGGATAACGGCCTAATTGGACAAAATTGGAGCAGACAGAATTGAAGGTGTCGAACTGAAAGACCTTATCGAATGAAATGGGGTCTAAGAGATTGGCTTCTTTGTAGAAAAGTGAAGCACTCAAGTTTGGCATCAAAAGTTTCCTTTTCAACATTCTTGCAGTCAAGCACGCCCTTGCAAAAGCAATTTTCTGATTATTCAATCCCCATACGATCTGTGGGACCTCCAAAAATTTTGGTTTCTCAAGCAAAGACTCAAAATATGGAGCAGGAGGAGGACTCTTCGAAAATCTGGGAAAGAGAACAAGTCTCAGCATCAAAGCAATCCCAAGGAGAACCACACATCTGCATGCTATTGAATTGATATACTGCCCCAAGAATCTCAAATGCTTGCCGTTCAACATTTCCATTATAAGAACTCCTCATAAATCAAATAGAGTAACTCAGAGCAAGTTTCCCATCTTAAGAACTACAGAAAAAGAAAGAAACCTTGCTGATTAATTCAGAACAAGACCCACACAATTTGAGTTCAATGAAAATTCAAGGAAAGGAATCTAATTGATCATATACAAATATGCAATACAATAACCCATACTCATAAATTCATCTTTGAATATATCATATCAGTAAATAGAAAAATGTCGGTCAACATTCAAGATTTCACAAAGATCCCTTGAAATATACCCATTCAACACTGACACTCAATGAAATTCACTAAAGCAGATAAAAAAAAGTGATACTAGCATGAAAGGGAGTTAAGATAAAATGTGAGATTGTCCTGAAAAGAAAGCAAAGAGACATCGCAATAATGACAACTCATGAGTCACGAGAATAACAAAGACTTCCATTTTAATACCATCCAACTGAATCCTTGAATGTAAAGAACTTCCGATACAAAAATGGGCAAAATAGATGTTAAAGAATATCTGAATAGCTAGAAAAACATTTTTCCTCGTAATTATCGATGATCAGGATCGTCAAAAAATTTCGAAATCTTGAACAATTACGCAAAGTATATTGCGAATAACAATGAGTATAATGATAACAAGATGGAAATAAACATACCTCTCTCAGCTTATGAGAATTACAGAGCATGAATCGTCGGAAACGACCCAAATAATGTAGCAGTTGGAGAAGGCAAAATGGACAGAAGAAGACTGACACGATGGATTCGATGCAGCGACAACTAGAATTCCGGCATTTACGGCTAGGGATTTTATTTTTTTTTTCGCCGGTTGGTTATGGAGATTTCAGGGGAGCTACGGGAAGGAGAAGACAAATTTCTGATTTACGCGTTGGACAGGGAGAATTTGCTTTGTCTTTCGATCACTACGGGGTGTTACATTGACTTTAAGAAGAGGAGACAAATTCCAATTTATTAGCAAATCAAAAACAAATTCAAGTATACAGCAAAATGTAATATTTTAATTTTAATTTTTGTCTATTTTAAGATTTGATCATACATTTTATTTTTCAATTAATTAGGTGTCTGTTAGGTAACATTGAGATGGTTGAGTTGGCAATTTTTGCGTAAAATTATGAAGTTATGACTGAAGTGAATGGATCAACTGATTCTGCTGATTTATTGGAAAATTATATTTCAAATACTTTTTATTAATAAAATAAATAAGTAATTATTTTAAAAATAACTAAAACGGCTCTCTATATAGTAACTTCAATGTAGTCAGAAAAATAAGTTATGAATCAAAAGTAAGGTTGTAAACGAATCGAATCGAGTCGAATATTGTGATTTTTTATTTGTATTTGTTTAATTTTTTCCGAATCCGAATCCGAATATGAAACGAATATTATTTTCGGTTTGTATTTGTATTTGTTTAACAATATGAATATTTAACGAATCATATACGAATATCGAATCGATTTGATCATAAGTTAAATATTAGTCAAATATCACTTGAAAAAACTTTTCCATATCTTTTATGTTATAAATGAATGCTATGGTTTAAAATTTAATGGATCGGTGCATTTTTAGGTTGTGCACATACAATGTACTAAAGTGAACTTTGTAACATTACATTTTTCTTTATGAATCAAAATCGCAAATCGAAGTAAAATTATTATAGGCTGCACTTTGAAGGTATAACTAGCTTTTAAAAGTTATTATAGTATTATTACTACTACTATTACTATTAATATTATCACTATTATTAATCGAATATATTTGATTAACATTCGAATCGAATATACTGATATTCGTATTTGTATTTGATAACATTTCGCATCATTTTTAGTATTCGTATTTGTATTTGTATTTGAAATTTTCGAATTCGAATCGCCTTAAACGAATACGAATCCCGAATCGAACAAAAATTATTTGATTCGTATACAACCCTAATCAAAAGTAATGGTGTATATCACACAATTCCGTATTTGATGAAAAACTTAGAATCAATACGTGGTAGGGCTGGCCTCGGGCCGGTTCGGGCCTGGTTCGGGCCTGGGCCCGGCCGGGCCTCGGGCCAGAAATGTGAGGCCCGGGCCCGGACCGCCGGTGGGCGGTTCCGGTTCCTGTTCCGGGCCGGGCCGGGCCGAGCCAACCGGTTCTAATTTTTTTTTCTCCTATTTAACCCCCTACCCCTCCCCCTCAACCCCAAACAATCTCAAATGGCCCAAAATACCTATTCCAACCTAAAAGTTAAAAAAAATTCAAAAAAAAAATTATTTTCCGGCCCGGACCGGGCCCGAACCGGCCGGGCCGGTTCACCAAATCAAGGGCCCGAGCCCGGACCGCCCAGCGGCCGGGTCGGGCCGGTTCAGGCTTGCTACAGTGGCCGGGCCGGGCCAAACAGTGCCGGGCCGGGCCGGTTCCGGCCGGCCGGGCCGCCCGGCCCGAGTCCAGCACTAATACGTGGGAAGTGTACAACAGATTTTATCACTATTTGCGACTGTTTTTTTAATAAATACTAGTATTGCACCCGTGCGATGCACGGGCCAGGACACATTATTTTTATATTTTATGTATGTTATTTTTGAAATGATAATATTATACTACTTCTGTCCCGGTTTGAAGTTCACATCATAAAAATTGCACGATTGTGTAAACAATAATCAAATAAGATAATTTGAGTATGCTGTGAGAAATGTTGTTGATGGATATGTAATATTGTGGGGTCATTTAAAATGGAAATATTAAAATATTAATACTCGTAACGTTAATTAGAGTATTTGATCAATAAATTATTATTTAATAATGAATTATTTTTTAGAATTGAAATGAGAATATTTATGTGATACATTCAAAATGGGAAAGTGAGAACCTTAAAGGGAGTAATCTGACCTATATCTATTTATTGTATAGGAAAGTCAAATTTAATAAGAGAAAATAAAATATTTAATACGGAGTATATCGTGAACCCATAATAAGAGCATCTTCAATGGTACAACGTGCACGGTGCACACGTGGCATGAGAGATGACCACATAAATATTAGTAAATAAATTATTTCTCTCCTTATTTGAATGATTTTATTTAGTTTTGGTAAGTTTTTCTTTACAATGTCAAGGAGACCGTCTAATGTTGACATTGCTGTTGACATTGCAGGGGAAAACTTACCAAAATTGTATAAAATCATTCAAATAAGGAGAGAAATAATTTATTTGCTAATAATTATGTGGCTATCACTCATTCCACATGTGTACCGTGGACATTATACCATTGAAGATGCTCTAATTGTTCCACAAGAAAGAACCAAACCATTGACACTTAATTACGTTTTACAAATGGTACTCCCTCCGTCCCTATTATATCTTCCAAATAGGTTTGGCGCGGAGTTTAAGATAGTGGGTATTGTGTGGTGGAGAGTTGTGCAGAGGAGAGATAAATGTGTAAGAATTGCTGTGAACCACAAATTCTGGCCAAAAAAGGAAAGTGGAAGTTTTAATTGGGACGGACGAAAAAGGAAAGTTGGAAGTTTATTTAGGGACGGAGGGAGTAGATTTTATGGTACCCAAAAGGTACCATATCTTTGTGTTAATGAGAATGTAGCAGTTGAATTATTTAAATCTAAATTAAAAATGATAAAATGATGTGGTCAAATCAAATAAATGGTAGGTACGGTATCCCATTTTTTATAAGGTACTTGAGTTAAAATAGAACAACTTGTTAGAAAAAATTATACAGTCAAAGTTTCTTTATATGTATACCTATTTACTTGTGTGTATAGTAGCGAAACCTATTTACTTGTGTGTATAGTAGCGAAACAATATACGGAATACTCCCTCTGTCCCTGAATTTAGTTCTAACCTTCCATTTTCGTCCGTCCCAAAAAGAACTTCACTTTCCCTTTTTTGGCAAAGAATTTGTGGTTCACAACCTTTCTATCTCTCCTCTGCACAACTCTCCACCACACAATTTTCACTTTCTTAATCACCGTGCCACTTTAATTTGGAACAACAATTAGGGATGGAGTGAGTACATTTCAACTTGGTTTTCATTGAGGAAATTGACATGATGACAACATCATATCCTAACTCCCCAGTACACAATGCCGGCCTTATACTTCGCTTCATATGTTTATTCTTTGTTCTCTAGTTCTCATTATACATCTCTTTTACCTCTACAGTACTTCCTTCGTTATTAAACAAATGCAACGGTCAACATTTCACACTTATCGAGACACAACTTTGACCGCTAATATATACTCCCTCCGTTATCTATTAGATGTCCCTATAGGGTTTGGCACAAGTTTTAAGAGAAAGATTATAGGGATAGTGAAAAAGGTGTAGTGGGTTGTGTATAAAGGAAAAAGTAGGAAAGAGAATGAAAAAGTAGGAAAGAGACTGATGGTAAATGGGTATATTTATTGAAAAAACTTACCAAAAATGAAAAGAGAGACAACTAATAGAGAACATCCCAAAAAGGAAAGAGGGCCAAGTATTAGAAAATGGAGGGAGTATGATTTTGTATTAATAAAAAATTAGAAAATGGAGGGAGTAGATTATAAAAGTTTACAATGAGACATTTTAACAATATTTTTTCAGATCATAAAAAAATTATTATTACATTAATAAATAAAACGTAGTCAAAGTTGAACATGTAAATAGTGTAAAAGTCAAAGTATTGTATCTATTTAAGAACTGGAGAACTGGAGAACTGGAGGTAGTACGTAGTTTTGAGTGATAGTAAACAGTAGAGTTGCAAAATAAAAAAGGAAGTAATGAGAAGAGCCGCCACATATCTTTATATATACAGTAATAATGTAGTTGTGAGTAGCCATAATAATTAATAATCATCCTCATCTTCTTTGGTATAATATGTTATTTGCAATTTGCAGCGCATGCATCACTAACTACTCACTCTTCACAACCCACCACACGCATCAAACCATATGTTAAACAGCCCATCCAAACACAGATAAGCTCGGCAGCCTGCTGTGTTCCAATGGATCTGATGTCGTTATTTCCCAATGATAAAAGAGTGCCAGAAAAGCCGGGAGACACAAGGACAACGGGTTAGGGGGTGTTCCAACTTCCAAGCCTCCGATCCTCAAGAAGTCAGAAAACTGTGATATGTGGATGCCACCAGCCAAGAGCTTGCTGATCTGGTGCTTGGATCTCAAGTTCTCAACCATGTAAAATGCTCCGTACTACGTAATTGTTTTCATGGAGCTATTAATTGTGCCACCAGAATATCCAGAAGTTGAGTAGTTGCAGCTATAAGTTATAGGGAAAATGGAAACTAATAATCCAACGTTTTAGCGGTCTTCTTTCAATAATCCCACCTTTTGATTATTCATTAATAATCCAACCTTTGCATCTCATCTTCATTCACTGGTCCCTGATCGGTTAATGACCTACTATTCCAAGTTATTTTCTTATCTTTGCAAAATATTATCTCTGTGAAAGATGAAATTTATGGTATAATGATTTACAAAGATAAGAAAATAACTTGGAATAGAAGGTCATTAACTGATTAGGGGCAGTGAATGAAGATGAGGTGCAAAGGTTGGATTATTCATGAATAATTAAAAGGTTGGATTATTAGTTTCCATTTTCCCTAAGTTATAACCGTATATATATATATATATATATATATATATATATATATATATATATATATATATATATATATATATATATATATATATATATATATATATATATATATATATATATATATACACGTTTAAACTAAGCTAAAGAAAGCTTAGTCAAAAAAATTCTTGAAAAGGTGTAGTAATATAGTGCTATACAGTACTCTTATCGTTCTGATAGCTTCTGAATTGAATTTCATTTGATGGCAGCATATATATAAAGTTTCGAGTGGGATAAAACTGAATAGTGGAACTGCCACATCAAGTATACGTGCAAGTTAGTGATT